GGCCAGGCTCTGCCTTAAAGCTGGTAGAGAGCACCTGCTCCACACACGTGCACCTCATGAACACTGCCCATGGATGAAAATCCGGTGTCTAAAACAGTGCTTGGTACAAAGCAGACAGGCAATAAAGATTCACTGATTTACTTGGATCAGTGTCTCGTGCCTTGCTCAGAGATGCTGTGCTTCCCATCTCTCTGTGGTTTATACATTAAAAGCCCTAACAGGTTTATTTTACATTAGAGTCATTCTAAGGATATGGGCAAAAAAAAGGCAGTGAGCTGGAAAGAGATCAATAAAAGCCTAGGGTACTGAGGGAACACCTCAGAGTCATAATGAAATCTACCCTCCAATCAAAAGCACTTGTGCAAGTGAATAGCTCCCCAACAATGTTTACACCCTGATCTCTGAAATCTACAAATATAATACATTACAGGGCAAAATGACCCTTGTAAATAGAATTAATGCTATGGACCTTAAAATAATGAGATTATCCTAGATTATCTGGATAGGCAATCTAATCACATGGGCCCTTCACAGCATACAACTTTCTCTTACTGGAGGCAGAGAGGTGTGGCAGAAGAAGAAGTGAAAGATTTAAATTCTAAGAGGGCTTTAACCCATAGGCTGAACAAAGACCACACAGAAAAAATGAAGAGAAACACTGGTACCTCTAGAGCAAAAGACCTCCTTCCCCTTTCCATCTGACAGCCAGCAAGGAAAGAAGGATTTCACTCCTGTACCTGCAAGAAACTAAATTTGGCTGATAGCCTAACTGTGTTTGAAAGTGATTCATTTTCAGAACTCCCAAAAAGGAACACAACTCATGTATGATGGCACATACCTGTAATCCCAGCACTCTGGAAGCCTGAGGCAAGAGGATCATGAGTTGAGCCCTAGCCTATACGATTTAGTGAGACTCTGTCTCAAAATAAAAAAATAAAACAGGTGGAGGATATATCTCAGTGCAAAGACCCTGGTTCAATTCCCGGTATTACTACGTGAAAAACAGGCAGGAAGGAAGGAAGGAAGGAGGGAAGGAAGGAGGGAGGGAGGGAGAGAAAGAGAAAAAAGAACACAGCCCCATGAACATCTTGATTTCAGCCTTGTAAGACTCTTAAGAATTAAACCCAGGGAAGCCTAGACTTCTGCCTTTCAGAGTGTGAGATAATAAGTGTGTTATTTTAAGTATCTGAGGAAATTTGTTGCAGCAATAGATAAAGTAACCAGCCAGGATCTTAACAACAGAGGCAAATAAATTGTTCTGGCCAAAATGTGCTGAGCCACTACTATGGCCCTCCTACAATCCCAAATACAGTAGAGGTTACTGGGGGCAGCAGCAGAGAGAGGTCCCCATACAGGCTTCCGTCCTTTCTCTGACAAAGGTATGTGCTGCTTCTTCAGGAAGGACCTCATAGCAAGTCAGGTGAGGGCAAGTTCACCTGTTTTACCCAAATCCACTTCACCGAGCAAAAAGGAAATAGAAGCTGCTGCCAGGTGGAGCCTGAGCAACTCCTAGGGGTTATTATCTCAACAGTACAGATACTATGAACACTCTGTAACATGAGTCTCCCCTAGACCTAAGTGCATTCACCCTAGAGAAAGTACTTCATGCATCAACTTATATTTGTATACTCATTGGAAAACCACCTTTCTGAGGGTATCTACTGAGTCCAGCTAACACTTATAAGCACCTACTAAATACTGCTCTCTGAATCAGTAAGTTTTTAACTAAAAAAGAAGAGAGTGCCTAATAAAAGCACTCTTAATCCCAGATAATTTTGATGGTCGCAGTAGCATTCTAGTATTTGACATTCATTTTTATGTGAGCTATAGATATAAATACGAATCTACACAGTGAGAGTCCTTGGCAATATCTGGCAATTCTCAAATATTCTCATATTTGCTTAATATGACTCTGCTTCCTAACACTAAAATACAAATGGAAGTTCCCTTCTTACCAGCAATTGTTTTTGTCACACAATTTATGTTACTCATGTCAGTTAAATGATCAGCTTCCATTTATTGAGCACCTAATGCATACCAGAGATTAAGTCAGGCTCTGCACATATATGACCAGAAATCACAATAAAAGGTAGAAAATATTCACATATAAAAGAGAGGAAGCTGAGGCTTATAGAGACCAAAATAATTTTCCAAGGTCAATACTGGAAAAAAGTTGAAGCAATTATGTGAACCCAGATCCAGCTGAGCTGAAACCCATGCCCCTCACAAATTTCCAGGTTTTCCTCATGTCATCCAAACGCTGTTATTCAGGGGTTGTCCAGGGACTGGAGGAAGCCCAGGAGAAAGGCTCAGAATATCCTTGAGTAAAAAACAGGGAATGCACAATCTCTCTCTCTGTCTCTCTCTCTGTCTCTCTGTCTCTGTCTCTGTCTCTCTCTCTCTCTCTCTCTCTATCTCTCTCTCTCTCTCTCTCATCTGGTTGCTGCTTGCAAACATTACAATGTTTGGCACAAGTAACTGCCCATGTGCAATGACATCACATGTCACAAATGTTAAAATGTTTAATTTTTAACCAAGTGGCAGGAGAAAAAGCCTTCTCACTGTAAAGCAAATACCAATCCCAGCACTCCAATTAAGGATCTGCTTAACTCAATAAATAAAATTCCAGCATGTTTGGAAATCATTTCATCTCAAAGGCATCCTCCAAAATCATCTTCACGCAGAACATCCTAACCACCCGCTGTAACCTAATTCAAAAGCTCCATTTTCTGACTTTCAGGAAATACATTTTGCAGCAACAGCAGAGGGGTAGGGGCACAAGCCAGATGTTCCTTACACCCAAGAGATGTATAGGAAGCACCTGGAGCCACCTTAGTCAACACCTGCTTGCGAACCAACTGATCCACAAGGTACAACATGACATCAATGTGATGTAACGTGGCTGACAGGTCCAAAGGTTCATTCCCATGTATTCTGCCATGGTGCTAATCCTCCCACACGGAGAGACATTTTCAAGTTGGAACCTGAACTGTAGTCAGGTGATGAGGGCTGCAACACCATTCTACTTTGCATGTAATTCAGACATTCCGTGACTGGAGGGAGTCTTACTGCATTGTGTACACAACAGGTGTTCGATGAGAAAACAGAAGTGAAAGAGTGAAGAGGAACCGTGTCTTCGAAAAACACTCATCTTTCCAAAATTGAAGAATCAATACATATTTCTTCCTGTACTGAAGTAAAGCAGACCAGACCAGCCCAAGAAAACGGTTTTGTACCACAACCTTTTGTAACATTTGTAATAACCTTGACCCTCTATGTCTCACAATGTTAAAAAAAAAAAAAACCACAAAAACAAAGAAACAAAAATATGCTAAATGTTCATACCTGTACATCTATTAGGATGTTACTTAGGGCTGTAAACATCCCCATAAATATTTTACTTGAAATTATGATATAGAAATATTAACCAACAGAATCACAGACCATCGAGCAAAGCACTCAGTATTAAAAATTAAAACAGAAACAATGCATTACTTCGGAATTAAACAAAAGCAGACCTTGAGAATTAGGCCTAAACTGGTCCCTGTGATTGACTTGGGTGCCCACCACGAGGCACCCAGAAGCTCAGTTTTGCTACCTTGTCTCATGCAGCAGCTGCGGCATCACAAACTCAGCACCATGCATGAACTTCTTGATGGTCGGTCTGAAGATTTGTTCCTAAAGTCACATTTTCAGGTATTATGCTAGCAAAAGTCCTGAAACTGAATATTCTTTGGACCCCTGGGAAAATCTGATTCTCTATAAATAAATCATGCTGTGCAACATTCAAGAGTATTATCATTTTGTTTTATCATAATGAGGATTGTCTCTTTTCAGGCACATTCTTCCTCCAGAACTCTTTCCCTAGCTCTAAGAGAACCTACTGACAAATCAGAGCTTCTGGTAAGCAGGAAATCAGAATAGTGGATGTTAAATGATGAATTGGAGGGGTATTCACCAGAGCTGTCAGAAAACCTACAAATAATGTTTATTCTAGAATTACTGTGCACAATTCTCTGATGACAAATACACTCAGCTTCACTCTTTGGTTAAGAAAGAATGCATATCCTCAATGAAGCGCTTCTCTAAATGATGGAATACTGGGCTAATAAAACTCTACCAGCATTTTTTTTCTTTGAATACAGTTTTGTCACTGATAAAGCTAATTATCGGATATGGTCCTATCCGATTCCAGGGTTTTCCTCCAGTGTGAGCTCACAATGTCTCTTTTTAACATGAATTAAACATGAATTGATAGCCACCTTCCCATCAATAGTTTTGAAACATTTTTTAAGCTAGGAAATCTTTCAAATGAACTCTTACTCAGAATATAAAATATAATATAAAAATAATATAAAACATGGAAAAGCAGGCCTTCTCCAACTAACGAGCACAAGAGACCATGGGCTTGGATTTAGCCACACCCAATACATTCTTCCTCTATCCAAGCCTTGAAAGATCTCCCAAAAGTTTGAAAAAAATACTTAAAATATCATGGGGATAAACTGTGTCACAAACTCCCTGGAAGCTCTATGCTTCTGCAAAAACAAAGTTATGCTGTCCAACAAAAAACGTCACATTTCAAAACCTCAGTGCTTCACATGTGTAAATGCCGAATAGTTTCTCTGGAGTGAATAATCTGCAATAATACAGAAGATCCTAATAAGATTACTAACATTGAGAAATGGGAAGAAAGGAGCTAAAGGTGTAGGGAAGGTGGGACGGGTAGGGGAAGGGTAAAAAGGGAAAAGAAAAAAAATGTGAGATAATGAAAAGATGGAAATAAAGTGGTTGTAGATGGGGAGGGGAGGAGGGGGTGAAGGGAGGGCAGAGACAAGAGGAAAAAATGAGAACCAAGACCTGTCATGTAGAGGTACAAGATCCCAACAATGAATGTAACTGTACTGTATCCCTAAAATGTACCAATAAACTCAATTAAAGCTGGAAAAAAAAAAAAAAACTCAGTGCTTGAAGTTTCTCCACAGAGCAAGAGCACTCACCACAACAGGTTTCAGGATGTCTATGTTGGAATGAAGCATCTGCTCTGCTGCATCCAGTTTCTCCTCTGGTAGACCACAAAGCTTGGAAATTTCAGGGTCACCAAGTTTAATCGCAGCTAATGTTGATCCATTGCACAGACCGGTCAAACGTAATTGGTAACCTTGCAAAAATACCTGAACGCATTTCAGGCAAAGAGAAAAAAGCAAAAGAGGATGACAAAGATGGGAAGCTGGATCCCTGAAGACCTTGGGGAGCCTCATATCAACACAGCTCTGAAGATCTTAAAATTGGCACTACTGTAATAGTCCAGTGCATCAGGTCTCTTTACTGAACCTCAGGATGAACCGAGCAGGATCTGACAGCACATTTCAAACCAGCCTGTTGTTTCTGACTCATATCTCCCACATCTTGCAATGGGAAATTCTGAGTCCAGTTCTTTTTTTCCTCAATACTGGAACACAATTCAGTGAATAGGAATTCAGAGTCTGAAGTTCTGGAACCATTTTTATTATAGGGAAAACATTTTCATTATTTTGGAGTTCATATCTTAAACTACAACTGAACGAAATTACCCCCCCCAAAAGCATACCATTTATATCCTGGTATAGCTATTTAAACAATACACAAAACCATGTTCAAATAATTTCAGAATTTGGAAATTTTCTTTTTACTTGTCCCAGAAAACAGTGCTTATCTTACTGATACGTCAGGTCTAAATCATTCTCATCTATGAATTATAGCAAACCCACTAGGAAGCTTCTCCTTGGTTACATTTTGTTTGTTTAATTAGCCTTTCTGGCCTAAATAAACCATGCTTCTTCATATATCATCCTTTTATTGTCTACTGGATAACAGGCTCTCTAAGAAGAGGGGCCCTCACTTATAGTGCTTACTTTGCAACTTTTTTGAATAAATGGTGCAGGCTCTTTATTATATCATCACTAATTCCTCTATTAGTTTGAATTAATGTGGCCTGCCCTGCTTGGAGAAGAACCTAATGTGGGTGATGGACAAAAGGCATCTCAAACCTACGCAGCTTTTGAAACACTGCAGAGCATTTGGCCTGCAACGGTTTCCATTACATTTTCACATACTCCCACTCAAATGTTCTTCGGCTTGTTCCTTTCTTTAAATGGTCTTTGCTGGCAGACCATTAGCCTACCCTTAGCAAATGTATCTAAGATCAGAAACCCCAATTACCACACAAGGACTACTTCCATTCTTAGGATGCCCCTTATTTTAAATTGATGGGATATGACTGATATCAAATTGGCAGGAGGCAATGGAAATTGTGCTAAATGCAACTATTTTCAAAGCCCGCTGCCTCTGGCCCACCTCCCAACCACACAATTGGTAAACACAAGGCATATTTTCCTACTTTCACAACAGCAGGCAGTGAGCATATTTTTCCAATTTTAAAAATTCTTGATTGTGTGAAGACCTTATTTTAAAGCACAACCATTTTCCATAACTTCTGTTTATTATAAAGACAAGCTCATATATAGACATGAGACAGAGTAAGGAAGCAGTTCTCCTTTATGCCAGAGAATAAACTCAAGAAACATCTTTGAGAAATTAACAACCATGCAATCTGCACAGGAGGTATATGAAGAAGTTCTCTAAGAATCACACATTAAAATTGAATATAAACACCTATAGTACTTCCAGACTTTAAAAATGTATCTTTAAAGAAATATTCAGTTTTTTAAATCTCTTGTCTTAGATTGTACAGACTTAGATGCTCCATATCAATAATCCTCAACCCTGCTTCTTTTCCTAGAACCATGAAAATATTTTTTTTAAAGTTTAATTCTCTTTAACCTCCAATGCAAGTGTTTTCACAAATGTCACCTGGCAGCCAGGAAATCAGTTGTATTTCTACCAGTTGGCCTTTGACGCCAGGTTGTACATTTGGCTCAATGGAGACTTTGGGAATCCCAGCCTGAGCCAGGTAGTAAAATTAAGTGAAGCCAAATTGAAGCTAAATATTCCCTTCACCATATTACAAAGACAAAGGGGTTTATTCATTTCTCAGGGACTTAAGCAATGTGCTTGCCATCAGCCCCCACTGGGAAAGCTAACAGTGGCAGCTTACCTTGCGGAGATAGACATCAGCCCTTAGCATGCTGTCCACAGTAGGCCTTGAGAGAGAGAGATTGTGATACAGAAATCCAGAGAAGGTTTCATTGTCCATCAGGAAATCCTGAAGCTTCAATCCTACCAAAACATGGTGTTTTGTTTTCATTGAATAAATGACCCCACCCCTAAAATAAAACAATTGTATAAGGCAGGTGGAGAAAAATATCATAATATAGATTGCCTTGTTTTAAACCAACGGATGACCACAGGCTTCTGGCGTAAGCACACAGGGGAGCTTTGCCTTATCAGGAGAGACATTTAAACATTGCTTTCTGACACTTACAATGTTGAACCACACTTAGCGTGTGCGCCTAGACTCAAACAGTGATTTGCTTTCTAAACAAAGAGTCAAGCCTTTTAAACGAGCCCGTCCACCCCACCTGAGATTTGTAACACGGACTCCACCACTCGTCTCCTCGATGACCTCTCATATAGTCAAATCAGAGATTTAAGGCTTATTCCCATAGGCCACAAGGGCTGAGCTCCTTCAGGAGCAAGCAACAGTTCTCAAATTTCAACATACATCAGAAGTACCTGGTGGACTTGTTAAAACAGACTGCCGGGCCCCAGCCCCAGAGTTTCTGACTGCAGGGGCCTATGATGAGGCTGAAGAATCTGCATTTCTAACAAGTGCACAGAAGATGCTGTGCTGATACTGCCGGCATGGGGACTGCACTTTGAGAACCACTAGTACAGAGCATCATGCATACCAAAGCATTTTCAGAGACACAGACTCATTTTATTTTGAAACAAACCATGTGACATGGAGCTCTAAAGCCCAGGTCTTCCACGTTTTAGGAAAATATGTAAGCATGCATTTAAAAATGTACTCTACTAAACAATTTGATTGCTAAAGGGTTTGTATACAGGATAAACAATAAGGCCTTCGGGTATATTCAGGAAATGCTTCCATCCAGTGGTGTGAAACAGAAAATCACTAGTCTCTAGAGTTGGAGGCTATGTCTGGTGTTATCCTATGGTTATTTCACACCATCTCTCTAAACCTGTTTCCTCCTCTCCAAAACAAGAGGTTTCTGACGAGGTCTTAGGAAAGACACTCTGATATAATATCTTTTTCTGTCTTATTTCATTTCACTGTCACCTCTTCTTTTTCCACAGCATCCTTCTATTAACCTAAATCTTTCTTCCTCTCCTCCTCCCTCCTCCTCCTCTTCTTCCTCTTACTCTTCCTCCTCTTCTTCTTCTTCTTCATTGTTTTTTAACAATAAAAATAAAAACAGCTCAGCGCCACCACATGTGGCCTAGAACAGACATTTACAGAATTGTGCACGGCCCAGGCGCTAAATGACCTCTAGGGGGCAAACTGTGCAAATCCAAATCATTTACCTGGCGAGAAATACTGTAGAGATTTCATCTGAAAATGAGGCTACAAAGGGAGGTGTAAGGAGGCCAGGAGGAAATCATTGGAGCAAAATCATACATGGAGACAAAGCAGCAGGAGGGCTGGTTCTCGTAAGAAGTTGCATGATCCAAGCATCTTCTACCCTAAGTAAACTTCAGCAATACTGTACAGAGTTCTCTAAAGAATACACAAGCACAATTCACATCTCTAGAGAAATAATTCTCCTAGACATCCATGTGGCTAACACCTAGGGATTCCTCAGGAGACCCAACAGCTGTTTCCTAGGCCTGCTAGAGTACCTCATCAGAATCAATGCTCCTGTAAACTGTCACCTGCCTGACTACCCCCATCACATGTGACACAATCCTGTTACCAACAGGCTCTCTTCTGTGGTTTTGGGGGCTTGGAATACCTAAGACTCGCTTAGGGAACATTGATCAGAATGCATTTTCTTGAGCCCAATCCATAAAGATTCGAAAATAGTGGATCTAGAGTTGGTGGCCACAAATCCATATTTTAATAAGGAACATATATATCTTTAATGCTGGGAGTCTGGGAGCCAAGTAAGAAACAATTTACTTATATATTGCTTCCACTAGACTGTGCTTATAAGGACATACAATCTGTGTTTTACCTTAGTGTCCCCAATACCCAAATCAGGGCCTGGGCACAGAATTACTGCTCAGTGAATGACAGCTGAGTAATAAATAATAATATATGGGAGTTGGGTAAGAAGATTCCAGATATATGAGAAGATTCCAGAAGTATCTAGCCTTGCACGTCCAGGAATGTCAGGGTCATCTCCAGGCTATACCTGAGAAGTAAACAGGACCCCTAGGCACTAGAGCTGTCTTCCCAGGGGCACAAAGCAAAATTCTGAGCATCTTAGTTCCTCTACAGTAGGAATAAACAAGTAAATAAGCAGCTACACATATAAAGCCTAATGTGAAAAGGTAGACCCTGACTATTATGTAGCAATAGAAAAAATCAGAACACAATAGGAGTCAGAAACCTAGATTCTGTACGTGTTTACTTGCTGCAACATTTCACCTAGCTAGGGTTTACAGTGTCTTACCTATAAAATGGGGTGGGCGGGGGAAGACCTCATAAACCTTCAGAGAACAGAATAAACAAGTGAGCTAATTCTCATCAACCACTCGGGCCATAAATTCTTCCTAAGCACAGAAAGTAGTACAAAGTATGATGCTGAGAGACATCAGAACAGCCCCCTTCTCCAACATAGGGCAGCAGAAGTATGGGAGGCTGACCCAGGCTACACTTTGAATAGACCTGGGTCACCCAGCAACACTCTTGAGACCAGAAAATGTGCTCAGCATGTTTATAAGATGATTCTGCTATTTCAACAGGCTCTAAGGGTGAAAACAGCTGGATATAATCAAACTCCAACTGCCCCTCCCTTGGATGAGACCCAAGAACCAAGAGACTGTCAAGTAGTCAACAACCCTTGGCAGTGCACACTCATGGTGTGGTACAATGTTGGGTGGGGAAGTAGCAGGGACGCCCAGAGATCCCTGGCTGCAAAGAACTTGCAGTCTGATCACATGGATTATCCACACATGTCAGCTTGGGCTCTCACACTCACTGACAGCTACAGCTCATGTTGGACACAAGAAGGCAAGCTGGTGTTTTAGGCTGGTTCACAACCTTGGCTGCCTAGTAGACTCGCCTGGGAGATTTACAAAAATCCCAAAGCCCAAGCCATCCCCTGGAACAACCAATCAGTACTGCTAGGGAGAAGAGTCAGATCTCAGAATTGAAGAGCAGAAAGTCTTTCTAGGTGACTCTAGTCAAGTTTGAAAAACAATGAAGTGAAGAAACAATCAAGATTCTTCATATAAACCTAAATTTGAGGCTACACTCTGCTGTGAATTACCTATATGACTATGAGAAGGTCATTATGCTTACTGAGGCCAAGCTTTCTTACCTATGAACAAATGTAACAGTAACAACTTCTCAAAAATGTAAGGTCTAAGGAGATTTATATGGAAACATCTGGCTCATGACAGGTGCTTAATAAATGGCAATAATTTTGTTGTTATTGTAAATATTTTTTATTCAGATTTACCAATGCACAACAGTGCAGTGTACAGAAAAGATAAGGACATAGCCCCTGCCTTCAAAGAATTTTGTGGACTGATAAAGGAGATGAAGAGACACACTGATTAAGGAAAGGAGCAGAAGGGAGAAGACAGCTAACGCTTGTCCCAGATGAGGCTTCCCCGCATGTGCTTCATGGAAGACAGCAGGCTAGAGTTCTGGAAAAGTCCAGAGAGCACCAAATCTCCTGCAGCTGTGACTGGTGAGGAGTAGGTAAGACCTCTCTCAATGACAACAAGGACACACACCCTGTTCTCACAGTGCCACACACACAGCAGGTTCGCAACAAATGACTGTGAATGAAGAATAAAAATTGAACACACAGCTGAAGGGAGTCCTCAAAACCTAAGATTTGGACAGTAGGAAGGTAGAAGGAAAAGCAGGGTCGGGTACAAGGACACACAGAATAACTTCGTATCAGCTACTCTCAGTCTTTTCCATTATGCTGCTAACAAGAAAATAGTGGAGTGAAGAATACTAAGAAAGCCAGATGTCAAAAGTAGCCTTTTCCTTCTCATCCCTTCTTCCTGACTTGATCCATGAATCACCTCCTCCAGGAAGCTTGCTCTGATCTTCCCACCATCAAAAAGGATTAGGTGGCCCTTTTCTGTGAGCCAACAAAATCCTGCATCTTCCTTGAGTCTGACACAGATGAAGCTGCAGTTGTCTCTGTAGACACTTTTCTCCCAGAACAGAAATATGTGGAGAGTCAGGATTTGTAACTCCAAAGCCTCTAGTGCCCGGCACAGAGGAGAACTCAATTGATGTTGGATGAATGAACAAATGAATACAAATAAGTGACTAAATTAATAAACTTATATGATCTGGGAAATTTCCGATTAGAAGAGGTAATTTCACCTTACTGTGGCTTAGTAAAAGTGAGAACAGGACATGAGTATGACATAAAGCAGGTGAAGATAACACCAGATTTCTCTGAGTCCTCCGTTCACATCAGCCCAGGTCAAAGGGGAACTCAGCAGGGTGTAGAGCAAGAAACAGAACAGGGGGAGGCTGAGTCAATTAAATGATAAAATGGAGATGACAATAGCAACTACCTCACTGCACTGAGCTTGGGGTTAGATGAGAAAATGTACTTTCAGGCCCAAGACGATTTCTGCCATGGAGTAAGAGTCTCCATAATGAACGGCTAAAACCATTGTCATTTTCAAGGATGACTGATCTCATTAGCTTCTCGGTTTATTTAACCATAAAGCTTGTGCTGAACAGAAAAGTGACTTTGTCAAGTATGTGGAGACACTGAATTCATGATCTATTATGTGTGTGTACGTATGTATTTGCCTGACTGATTTCCTCAGCTGTATATAATTAGTGAATTCTTTCTGCTGATGCTTGTGTACAATGTGAAAGATCAAAGCTAGGTATTTTGCCTATTCAGATGACATAAAAGAATAAATAAGTCTTGTATTTTCCAGAGAATCAATAGGAATGATCACAGCTACTGGTCAGCATGAGGCTGGACACAGAAAGGTGGAAGACGGCGAGAAGACCAGCCATTCCAGGCAAGACAGGAAACACTTAGCAGAAAGAACAGCCAGTCATTTAAGCTTAGCCAAATGAGTTGTTATCGACTGGGCTTTATCTTTCAAATGTGTAGATGGAGAAAAGGATTTCTCACATAATCTT